GCCCATAAGAATTTCAAAGTTTATCAAATGGATGTCAAAAGTGTTTTCTTAAATGGACTTCTTGAAGAAGAAGTGTATGTTGAACAACCACCTGGTTTTGCAATCAATAATGAGCTTGAAAAGGTCTATCATCTCAAAAAGGCTCTTTACGGTTTAAAGCAAGCTCCACGAGCCTGGTATGATACTCTTTCATACTTTCTTATCAACGGTGGCTTCACGAAAGGAGTGGTTGACAAAACACTCTTTCGTATAAAAGATAATGATCATATTCTATTAGTCCAAATCTACGTTGATGACATTATCTTCGGAAGCACGAATCCAATCTTGTGTGAAAAGTTCTCCAATCTTATGAAGGGTAAATTTGAGATGAGTATGATGGGAGAATGAAACTATTTTCTGGGATTACAAGTCAAACAGTGCCCAGATGGAATATTCATTAATCAAGCCAAATATACCAAGGATTTAATCCAGAAATTTGGCATTGATGGAAAAAGTTCGGTCAAAATTCCGCACATCCCTTAGAATGGATGTTGATAATGAAGGAAAAGATGTTGATCTGAAAAACTTTCGAGGCATTATTGGTTTCTTTTATACCTAACAGCAAGCAGACCTGACATTTCGTTTGTTGTTGGTGTACGTGCATGATTTCAAGCCAAGCCGAAAGAAAGTCACCTAAGTGCAACTAAAAAGATATTAAGATATCTTAAGGGAACGCAAAGTGTCGGACTCTGGTATCCGAAAGAAGGATCATTTGATCTAATTGGGTACTCAGATGCAGACTTCGCAGGATGTCGAATTGATCGAAAAAGTACCTCAGGAACCTGCCAGTTCCTAGGAGGAAGAATTGTATCTTGGTTTAGCAAGAAGCAACACTCTATTGCTACAAGTACGGCTGAAGCCGAATACATAGCAGCCAGAAGCTGTTGTGCTCAAATTTTATGGATGAGACATCAATTGAAGGATTATGGTATAAATTCACGAGAAGTGAGCATTAAATGCGATAACACGAGTGCAATCGCCATTACACATAATCCTGTCTTACACTCTCGGACTAAGCACATTGACATCAAATATCACTTCATTCGTGATCATGTCGAGAAGAAAGACATATCTCTTGAGTTTGTTAATACTGATGATCAACTCGCAGATATACTCACAAAACCTTTGAGTGAAGCAAGATTCTCCTCTCTAAGGCATGAAATCGGAATGATTGAAATGACATAAAGCCAAGAGAATCAAATCTGCAAAGATTCTTGCTCTCGATATTCAAAAGATTTGATCCACCCTCACACGCAAGGATCTTTATAAATGAGGTACACTACGTGGTTAAGATTTCATATCTAACAAAAATTCTAGTGTTTGTCTTTGCATGTGCAGATATGAGTACATGAAGCGAAAGAACAATCACGGAGGCACAAGAGGGGAAGAGCGAAATTCTTAATGATCCACTTGTAACCGAGCATGAGTTTAATCAATTTCTTGAATATTCTCAACACATACAAAGTCTTCTCCGTGACACAACCGAAAATGAGTCAAGAGAGTCATTTCACTCTATTGGCAACCCTATAGGGTATGTCAAGGAAGACAGTGTGTTGGAACAAAGTGGTAGTCTTAACTCCTCACCCTCAAGCACTCCTACTAAGATGGCATCTCCTCTCAAATCCACCGCAAGCAGCAAGAAAAAGAAGGCCTAAATAACTTTGTTAGGCCACGGTGATAAGTTGTGATGTTATCATGATTGTGATCTTTTAATATATGACTCTATCTATTGTTATCTTTTCAATATGGTGTCAGTATCTAAAAGATTTTATTAAGACTCTCACGATAACTTTTTGCCTATAAATTGTTTTCCTATTTCATGAGCGTTACTCATTCTCAAACCCTTAGAAAAGGAAAAAGTTTGCAGGAATGGACAAAGGGAAAGGAAAGATCGATGAAGTTGAGAAAAGAGCTACTCGCCTAAATCATCATCTGCGAGAAGCCAGCAAGCTACCAAATGCCACCATCATTAAGTTGGAAGAAGAAGGGGAAAGGGTCAACGTAACTTACTCCATGCCTAACACAGCAACACAAAAGGAGAAGGAAACTCTTGACAATCTGGTCAATGAATCCAGGGCTAAGAAAGCATACTACCTAGAACAAGCCAAACGGCTTGCTAACGAGAGGATAATGGCGATGAAAAGCTCTAACAAGCATTCATCATCCACACCTATCTTTCACTGGTATCCTATTCCTGAAGTTCCCCAACCTAGTAATCAATCTTATGAAGATTTCACTATGGTTCACTCTCGGTCCTCAACTCTTTCACCCGAACCCACTCTCTCACTTGAGAAGCTGGATGAATACGCAAAGAAGGCAAATCTGTCTGATGTGACCGAGGAGATGACTCGTCTGGAACTTCACGTGCCCTATCACTTTCTCTAAATTGTTGTGTGATGTATTCTCGTGACTTGGAACACCCTTTCTCTCTCTTTTATGATCTAATAAAAGTGTTATCTTTTCGTACTTAGAATGAATGCAATTCTTGACTATGTTTAACTTTGTCTGTTTCGTGTCTAAAGTCACAGGAAAACTCATCACTCAAATTTAATCTGGTCAAAAAGGGGCCATAAATTATTATGAGTTATCTGACAATTAAGTTCATTGGAGTTGGAGCATGCTCAATAAAGAGTCGTATTAACAGTCAAAGTCTTGCCTGGAATTGATAACTCCTTGAAGATATTTATGAGCATTAATTGTTACGTTGAAAATTATGTGTAACAGACACATGAACATTATGGATCTCTTGCTATAAAAGGAGGTGAATTCTTCACATCATCTCCATCATTCTCTTCCTCACCATGGCTCCAAAGAAACCTTTCACTAGAGGTGACTCTCACAAACTAAGAGAGGTTGCTAGGCGTATCAGGGAGGAATAAGGTGATCTTTACACTGGTAACAGTCCACAAGCTCCAGTAGACCTCCTCTCTGATTCAGACTCATCTCTTCAATATGATGAGATGGCTGCCTATATTGTTGAAAAATCTGAAAATGAAGAAAGGCTTTCTAAAGACCCTACTCAGGCCACCCCTAAGGATCCCAGCAAGTTCTATGATCGAGATTATATGGCCTATCTGAAACAAGAAGATGAAAAAGAGGCATATGCTAAGGGGGAAGAACCTGAATCCTCATCCGGTTCCAACTACCCACGAACCGGGAAGTGGTACAAGCAGATGTTGGGAAATATGAAAAAGGCGAAAACTGAGTCGTCTGGAGTCAAGAAAAACGAGAGAAAGAAAAATTGATCCTTTGGATTTTGTATCTTATCTTATGTATTTTCTTCTCTCGGTATTTTGAATAATAAAACTTCGTTGGCTCTGGTTTTCTTTAAATATATTGAACGAGATTCTACTTGTCTTATTTCTCATCTGTTCAAAAATCTCGGATCAAGGACAAATTTCTTGGAAAAGAATATATTCCCTAGGCGTGCCTTGGTCAAGTCATTCGGACACATCTTTTGAGAGGTTCAACCCTCTATTTAATGGACCTTCTCACTTAACTATGGACTCATTCTTCACATTCTTCAAGCTCATGGATAAAGGGAAGGAAATGGCCCTCACATCCGAGAGCTTATCTGAGTCTGAAAACATGTCTCACCGTGATCTCGGAAACTCAGTTGAGAAAGGTTCACCCTCTGGGAAGGAACCAGACATCTCAGAGTTCTACTCTCTTGTTCAACTCACACCACTTCTGAAACACGAAGAAAGATATCGTGTATTGTACGCTGGTGCTAAAGCCAAAGTCTTGGCCGAACTAGATGACATGGCACTACAAGAAAAATGCACATAGACAACGGTTAATAACCGTTGCCGTAGGGGTATAATTTCTGTTGTTGAAGCCGGTGTTGTTGTAAGTCCAGCGCATAGACAACGGTTTTTTAACCGTTGTCTTTTCTAAAAACAACAACGGTTTTTTAACCGTTGTCTATTAAGTGTTGTTGAAGCCGGTGTTGTTGTAAGTCACGCACATAGACAACGGTTAATAACCGTTGTCTTTTCTAGAAACAACAACGGTTTTTTAACCGTTGTTTATTAATTGTTGTTGAAGCCGGTGTTGTTATAAGTCACACACATAGACAACGGTTAATAACCGTTGTCTTTTCTAGAAACAACAACGGTTTTTTAACCGTTGTCTATTAAGTGTTGTTGAAGCCGGTGTTGTTGTATGTCACGCACATAGACAACGGTTAATAACCGTTGTCTTTTCTATAAACAACAACAGTTTTTTTAACCGTTGTCTATTAAGTGTTGTTGAAGCCGGTGTTGTTGTATGTCACGCACATAGACAACGGTTAATAACCGTTGTCTTTTCTAGAAACGACAACAGTTTTTTAACCGTTGTCTATTAAGTGTTGTTGAAACCGGTGTTGTTAAAAGTCACGAACATAGACAACGGTTTTAAACCATTGTCGTTTCTTCCAAAGACAACGGTTTTTGACCCGTTGTCAATTCAATGTTGTTGAAACTGGTGTTGTTAAAAGTGATGCACATAGACAACGGTTTTTAACTGTTGTCTTTTCTTTAAAAAACAACAGTTATAAACTGTTGTCTATTGTGTGTTGTTGAAATCGCTGTTGTTAAAAGTCACACCCATAAACTGTTATCTTTTTAAAAGACAACAGTTTCAAACTATTGTCTATTGTAAAATAGACAACTTTTAACCGTTGTCTCAACTCGTTTTTAACCTGCTTAAAATTTAATCATATAAAAAAAATAGAAGCATTTATTCATTCACCATGACCAAGTATAGTTACATGCACAAGCTAAGCAAGGTTCATAATAACAAGTCAAAATACTGAGCATGACCAATTCTAATCAAATCATCATCCAAGTCATAATACTAAAAAAAAAAAAAAAAAAAAAAAAAACAATTCCAATCCACGAACCAAGTCTAAATGATCACAACGTCAAATCATACCTACTCTATATAACTTGATAGAATATCGGCCCATTCTGAACGCACCAGATCAATAACCGCTTTGTCATAATCAACTTGTTGGAACTACATGTAAATAGTGAGTAAATAAATTAGTATAGATATAATAAATTTGCAAAATAATTATATGATTTTTGACAAGACCATGACAACAACAAAAAGATTAACAGATACTTAAAAAACATGTAAAATATTATTATAAGAAACAACAAACAATAATCATTGAGAGCGCCACAGGTCCCAAATAAGGGTTCTTCTGTATATGTTTACGGTCTTTATCTCCTCATATTTAACTATTGGATATGTTTACAAGATATGCCAATTGGGGAATATCTTTATCTACTTTCTTCCATTATCCTTGAATAAAAAACAGGCTACTTGTTTGCCCATTGCCTTCTATTCTCATCTCTAAGAAAAAGGCTATAGGAACAAAATCCAATTGATAAATGTCTACCCTTTATCCAGTTTCTATAGAAAATTTTAAGGAAAGGGCTACTAAGCACAGAATTGGTTACTTTTTTCTTGTACGAGAAAGCAAATCCCACAAAAGATTAATAAATGAAGGCTTAAAGTCAAGTGTAAGGCCATAGTTTTACCCCCAAGGTTAGTAAAGCACTAAAAAACTGTTTCCCATGCACTAAAAGCAGTGTCAAAGAATAAAATTTTTGGAATTCAAAATAGAAATTTGAAGGGTGCAAATATTGTCGAACAAATAATAAGGTAATTACATAAGTAATTTTTTATAACTAATGGTGGCAAGAATTGGAAACAAACCTCCTTAATTTGCTTTAGAATGGACTCAACCTTGTCACTCACAGATGCCCGAGCTCCAGTAACTCCAACCGAGCTCACCTATAATTTGAAACAATAAACAATAAGCTTTTCTTGCAAAAAAACTTACATACATGTATCATCAAAAGTAATTATTTTCTCGTGACACTATCAAAGTAGAATAAACCAGTTTATCATAAGTATTAATGACTTAGAGCTCTATTTGAAATTAAGCAATGTTTAGATTGTTGAAATAAATATAAAAATATTTAAAATTCTGCTATAGAAGACCAAAATGACACCATAGGTAGTGCATAAAGGAGGTCAGAAAATACTCATACCTTTGCAAGGATGAGAGTTGTTAAACTTTCTTAAACTCATCAACGATCAGATGCTTAAACTACATTTCTCAACATTTTCACCCTGCAACTTTTTCACTAGTAAGGTATGCCATTGGAAATATGGTTCAATAACGAAAGAAGTGCATCTTAGATAACTACAATTCAACTAAAGACAAAAATCACATGGAAATGCCCACCAAGACCTCGAAACCTAGAAGGTAAAATGATTAAGCAACATAACGAATTTCTGTATACTATAAGATTAAGATACAAATGTCATTGAGTAAGTATGAGGAGGTGAATTCATAAGCAATTTACCTTGCTCAATGAACACAGAGAGGCCAAAATCAGTTGCCTTCAAGGCAGCATTTTCAGCTTTATTAGACAGCAAGGTGAAGAAGCTTGAGCTCTAATAGTCGAAAGGAGGAGGATTGGTCCTGCAAGGAAGCTCAATTCAAGTCACTAGATTTATCAACTGCAATTTGACTGACTAAAAACAAGAAAGGAACAATTAAATATTACCAATAACTCTTTTAGGGTTGACTCCATGTCTTGCATATCCTTCTGTTTATCTCTGACCTTATCACCAGCCCCATGCTTATTATTACCAATGTTCACAACTGGGAAAAAAGCCCCTTTTGAAACATCTTTCTCTGCTTTCAGAATTGCCACTCTACCAAATCTGCAATTGTTTTCTATAAATCCCCTAAACAAAAGTCACCAAAAGTAAACACAACTTACAAAGTACTTTTTCATGACAAATTAGGTGACCCTCACTTTAATAAAGACTGCAGCATAAATCACTAAATGGAAGCATTTCAGAGATAATGCCAAAAAAAAAAACAAGAAAAAGAAAAAAAAAGTGACAGAAAGGATCCACTGATAATTGAACAATTTGAAATCCATTCCTTCTAATAATTTTAACAAGCAGAAAAAGGATGATTAGCCAAATAATAAATGCTTTGACATGAATGATGAATCTTTTAACTCATTATTCTCCATAGATCCTAACTTGGGGGAACATTTTTTCTGCTTTTCTAGAAGTAAAACAATCTACCAAAAGCTTAAGGAGTTCCAAATGTTCAAAATTGTTCTTGTAGCTGTTGGTGGAGAGAAAATTGAGCACTCATGAGAAATACCAAGTGACCAATGCATTATAGAAAGTACTATGTGCTGCCTTTTGTTATTAGATGTATGTTTCAGAAACTTCCTTTTCTAAACAGACACAGGTCACTGCCAAGGATAGAAGCCTCATCTGCCTATGAGAAGACAAGTAGAGTTTGATGTCATGAAAAAAAAAGGCAATATTTGAGGAAATTGCCAAAAAGTAATGCAATGTAAAGTCAAAACTAGAACAGATCTCTGTATAGGCTACGTAAACAGACACAGGTCACTGCAAAGGTTTAATATATGAGGTTGCCTAACCATAATAAATCTGTTGAGTTCAAGCATGACACATTTTAGAGTGCAGATAGTTTCACCAGCACCAAAAAACATACAGACAATAATTTTATACTCCGTATTTATCTAATATTTTGTTAAGTACAGAAAAACAAACAGAAATACAGTGTTATCTCTCAAAATAAAATGCCAAATAAATAAAAAAAAAAACAAGTTTGACAAACCAAGAGAAGTGTGTACACATACCTCATTGATATGAGTTGTAAGCCTAACACGATGACCAAACTCCTGTTAACAAACATCAGGGGAGGTAAATAAAAATGAATCGGGGAGAAATAGAGCTGCTGCCTAAAAGTTGATTTTCTTTTAAAGAATTTTTTCATAAATAAACAAAAAATATATATAATCTAATTATCTAAACAAGTAAACATAGAGAATTTTGTAGTCTATTTCAAGTAAACTGTAAACACAGAGCAAATCAATATGAATTAGAGCAAATCATAGGCAAACATTAACTGTTAACTACAAAGAGTATAATCAAACTAGCATTCTAGCAGAGTAAGGCAACACTGTCAACACAACCCCAATTCCCAATTCCTAAGCAAACTAAGTAATCCCTCAGACCACTCAGAACGTCACTGGCTCACTAGCAACACAGCCCCAATTCCCAATTCCTAAGCAAACTATGCAAAATCATCTCAAATTCATATTCATATATTATCTATTGGAAGCAATAAATTATAAAATGCAACTTCAAATAATCAAATGCAACCCAATCCAAAGTGCTGATGAACTAAATCTTAGATTTTTAGGTTTTTCTCTTTTATCCAAAATTCCAGTCTTCTAGATGAATAAGAAATTAAGAACCAATTAGGCAATCAATTAGGTTTAAAGAGACAGAGCAGCTAAGCAGATATCAATCAATCGGTCAATGGAATTCAAAACAAAGGATAAAAATCAACTATTTGCGGCAGTGGACCATACCATGAGCGCCTGAGCGGGTGAGCCTCGGCAGTCGGCAGAGGGTGCTCGCCGTAGTCTGCGCCCTACGGTGTTGGCGATTGGTAGCAGCCAGGCCCAGCAGCAATTCTTCCCTTGGCGATTGGCTTCTGCGGTCCGCCGGTATGCGCAGTGCGGTAATGGTAGTCGCGAAAAGGGCAAGAGGCGAAATGGGGGCAGCTCCCTCCGTCCATGAAGAGAAGAGAGAGTAAAGTAGTAAAGCTGTAAAAATCTGATGTACAAGAGGCGCCAAACAAAAAAGTTTTGGTGGGAATTTAATTTTAGTAAAATATTTTTTAGATATCAATAGTGGGATTTTAGTAAAATATTTTTTAGATATCAATAGTGAGAGTAAATGTATTATTCATACTAATAATGAGAGTATAATTTTAAAATAAATATAAAAATAAAATTTCATCACTAAATCATAAACATTTAGCTAGAGTAACTCTTACAAAAAACATGGAAATGATTCATTTAGTGAGAGGTTTTTCTGTCTATCACTAATTTTTTGTCACTAAAAGTTGTTTTTCTTGTAGTGCATGTCTATTGTCGGGTATATAGGTATAGAACGGGGTAAGAATATATTAACTTTATTATCGGGGACGCTAGACCCAAAATAGTACCGGGTATATAGGTACAGAACGCAAGGTAAAAAAATAGTAGTTTTATTGCTCGGGATGTACCGCGTATATAGGTACAGAAAGGGAAGTAAGAAAACAGTAGCTTTATTACCCGGGGTGCTAGGTCCAAAATAGTTCATAATTTATATACTACAGACTCAGAATTTATATAGGTATAGATTCATAATTTCTATACAGTAGATTCATAAAATCTTTACTGTAGATTCATAATTTCTAAACCGTAGATTCATAATTTAAATACAGTAGATTCATAGTTTCTATACAGTAGATTCATAATTTCTACACGTATGCAGATTCATAATATCTGAATTGTAGATTCATAATTTCTGTATTGTTGATTCATCATTTCTAAATTGTATAGTTATCAAATTATGAACATATAGTATGTGTGAATACATAAGAATCGAACCCCAAGTGACTAGGTTGAGGCCGGGTAGAGACTAGAGACCACTAGACTAGGGTGCCTGTAAGCCGGGTATATTCATGGTTTTATAGGGACCGGGTCCACCATAAACCAGGCGATATAGATATATAACAGGGTAAGAAAATATTAGCTTTATTACCCGGGTCGCTAGACCCAAAATAGTACTGGGTATATAGGTACAAAACGCGAGATTCATTGATTTTTATACTGTAGATTCATAAATTCTATATTGTAGATTTATAAAATCTTTGGTGAATAATTTTATATTTAAATATGAACGAAAATAGAACTATTAAATTAACTTTTGAATTGTATTATTTCTTTGTTAAATTTTTATGCACTATATTTGGACAAAAAAAATTAATTACATTTTATTTTTTGTTCTAGATCTTCTAAACATCTATTTTCATCTCGTAACAAAAACAATGAAGGTCCAAATTATAGGTAAAAGATAAGGTGTAACACTTTAGTAAACAAGAGTTGGTGTGGCTTGGTGGGTTTAGCTTTATTTATTATGTTAGAGGTTATGGGTTCTATCCTTCTTGGTGGCATCTTTAACCTATATTTCATACAATCATTGTCTTGGTTCTCATAGACAACACAGAACCAAACTCGTTATATCTTAGATGTTGCGCTTGAATACATAAGTGTTAGTGTGGCTTGGTGGGTTTAACTTGTTTAACTTAGTTTGTGATGTTAGAAATCTTGAGTTCCATTCTTCTTAGAGGAATTTTTAACCTACTTTATAAAATCATTGTCTTGGTTTTCACAGACAACACAGAAACAATCCAGTTATATACAAGATGTTGCACTTTAATACATAAAAGTTTGTGTTGCTTAATTGGTTAAACCTTAATTGCTATGTTTGAGGTTAGAGGTTTGACTCTTGTTGTTAAAATCCTTGTTTATATTTTATACAACTGTTGTCATTTATAAAATAATGATGCGCAAAGACAACGGTTTTTTATAACCGTTGTCTTTGTAGTGTTGTGTATTCAAATACGCTTAAAGACAACATACCAAAGACAACGTTAAATAAAACCGTTGTCTTAAACAAATAAAGAACGCGCAATGACAACGGTTATATAAAACCGTTGTCGTTGTAGTGTTGTGTATTCAAGTGCTATTAAAGACAACACATAAATGACAACGGTTAAATAAAACCGTTGTCTTTTATAAAATAAAAATGCACAAAGACAACGGTTTTAAAAAACCGTTGTCTTTGTAGTGTTGTGTATTCTGGTGCGCTTAAAGACAACACACTGACGACAACGGTTAAATAAAACCGTTGTCTTTTAAAAAAAAAAAAGAGCGCACAAAGACAACGGTTTTAAACAACCGTTGTCTTTCTAGTGTTGTGTATTCTAGTGCGCTTAAAGACAACACACCAACGACAACGGTTAAAAAAACCGTTGTCTTTTTAAAAAAAAAACGCACATAGACAACGGTTTTAAAAAATCGTTGTCGTTGTGGTGTTGTCTTATCACAAAATGCACAAAGACAACACACTTATAACAACGGTTAAGTAAAAACCGTTGTCTTTGACAAAAGTGTTGCATCAAAGACAACGGTTTTGAACCAAACT